GTGGGCTTGGCCATTTGTAGACTCCGGACTCATCTGGTGCAAAGCAAATGCAACTGATTCAAACCCTCATTGCTCACGGGGGGAGCAGACCTGCTTTGCTTTGCCCTCGTACGGGTTAGCAGTGCTTGTACTGTTCGTTGGCAAAGCACTTATGGGGCACTGTGCGTTGGAGAACATCAAGATGTTGGAGACCTTTCCTTCTCTTGCCTTTTGAGACCAAATTAGCTCAGCTGTAACCCCCTTCCCTTGGTCCTGAGCAAATTTCCAGTAGCATTTCCAACATCCACTCTTCCTCTCATTTTTTCAGCCTGCAGCACGTGTCCATAGCCTGATCTTAAAGGCAGAAATTACTGAGTGAAATTCTCTGAACCCTCTTTTTTTTTTTTCAAAAACTGGGCTCCATGCAGCCTAGAAAAGGGAATTTGCTTGAGCTGCTGCAGAGCACACGCCAAAACCCATCCGCCTGACACAGCAGCCCGTTACCTCCAACTTGATTACAACGTACCTTCCACCTTAAAATCTCTGTTCATCAAGGGAGAAGTACACACTGGAGCGTTCCACGGGGGAAAGGCAAACACTTGCTGCCAATGGGGACAGAGGTTGTCAGCTGTGCGCCTGCATATCAGCCACTGGATGGGAATAAAAAGCACGTTCCTGCCCCAGCCTAGCTCTAGTCCAAGCTCCTGGACGGTCGCAGAGCTCTCATGGCGCTCTGGGTGATTCTCCTCTGTACCTTGATAGCGTCGCTGCTGGGTGGGCTCTACCTCCTGGGCACGTTTCGGAGACGGAGACCTGATGAGCCGCCTCTGGACAAAGGTACCATTCCCTGGCTGGGTTACACACTGGATTTCAGAAAGGACAGTTCAGCGTTTCTAAAAAGGATGCAGAGAAAACACGGGGATATTTTCACGGTGCTGATCGGAGGCTATTACTTCACCTTCGTGATGGACCCCTTCTGCTTTGGAGCCATCGTGAAGGAATCACGATCTAAACTAGACTTTAGGACCTTTGCATCTAAACTGGTCTGGCAGGTTTTTGGCTACAAGCCCATCGAAGCCAACCATAGCATAATTCATGCATCGAGCACAAAGCACCTGATGGGAGACGGACTCACTGTCATGACACAAGCCACCATGGAGAACTTTCAGAAGCTGATGCTTTTCAATCTGAGCTCAGGAGAGGAGAAGCGAGTGTGGCAAGAGGATAGCCTCTTCCACTACTGCTACAACATCGTCTTCAGAGCCGGGTACCTGGCTCTGTATGGCAGTGAGCCACACCAAGGGGCAGATAACAAGGAGAAAGCTAATGAGCAAGATCGCATCCACTCCAACCAGGTGTTCCACGAGTTTCGGAAGTATGACCGCCTCTTCCCTCGCCTGGCCTATGCTGTGTTGCCTCCCAAGGACAAAGTAGAAGCTGAACGGCTGAAGAGGCTTTTCTGGAGCATGCTGTCCGTGAAGAAGAGCTGGCAGAAGGACAATATCAGTGGGTGGATAAGTGATCAAGACCAGCTTCTGGCAGAAAACGGTGTCCCTGAGTACATGCGGGATCGTTTCATGTTTATGCTCCTCTGGGCATCCCAAGGCAATACGGGCCCAACTGCCTTCTGGCTCCTCTTGTATCTAATGAAACATCCAGAAGCTATGAAGGCTGTGAAGGATGAGGTAGATAAAGTCTCAAAGGAGAACGGTCAGGAAGCGAAGCCAGGGAGCCCACCAATTAACATCACTAGGGACATGTTAAACCAGACTCCTCTTCTGGACAGTGCTCTGGAGGAGACCCTGAGGCTGGTTGCAGCCCCCATACTGGTCAGAGCTGTCCTCCAGGACACCAGACTTAAGACGAGCAGCGGGACAGAGTACAGTCTCCGCAAAGGAGACAGGGTGGCTCTGTTCCCGCACATCTCTGTGCAGATGAACCCAGAAATTCACCCCGAGCCTCACGAATTTAAATACAACCGCTTCGTAAACCCAGATGGCACCAGGAAAGATTTCTACAAAAATGGGAAGAGGCTGAAATACTTCAACATGCCCTGGGGGGCAGGGGTATCCATCTGTCCCGGGCGGTTCTTTGCTGCCGCTGAAATTAAACTGTTTGTGTTCTTGATGCTGAGTCACTATGACCTGGAGCTGGTCAACAGAGAAGAGGAGATCCCAGCAATAGACACCAGCCGCTGGGGATTTGGGACGATGCAGCCTGTTCGCGACGTTCAGTTCAGATACCGGCCACGCTTTTGATTTGGGTAGTCCTTGTTGCGTTGTTTATTCTGGTGTTATCTGTGAAATACATTGCATGATCCCATGGTTATTAGATCCGTGCAGCGCCAACACTGATATGATCTTGTTTGCTTAATTGTTATCATGGCTTTTCTCTTTACCTCCTTCACATGTATCGCTGCTCTGTGTCTCCGGTTATTGTGGTGGTGGGTTATGTGATAAAAGCTCATCTGCACACCCACAAAGGAGCACAGAGACACAAATAGTACCCTGCCAAGCTACTCCCAGCCCCATCACGGGGCCATCAGCCCATCAAAAGCCCATCTGCACAAGCCCAGAGGAGCACAGGGGCTTATTGGCAGGTGGGAACCCAAATTAAGGACTTCCAAGGAATGAGTATTTTGTCCAGGTCCCTCCCAGGACTGTCCCAGCGGAGCCATCAGCCCCACAGTCCTGGTGTGAGACCCGTCGAGATGCGTCATTGGGAGCAGCTCTCCGGATCACCATCTGGACTAAGGGGGATTGCTGTCAAGGGAGGGGGGACATCTTATGGCGTGCAGGGGAAGAGCATTTTGGGATTGCACGGGATTTATGGTGGGATGTTTAGGGGAGGAACCAAAGGTGGGAAAAAGGAGGGATTTAGGTGATTTGGGGTGGAAAATAGACGTGTAAAGGGCTGGTTGTGTGTAAATAGACAGCTGGTCCATACACTTGTCTAGTCACACCCTGCACCTGATCAGCACAGTCTGTCCTATTGTCTTATTAAATTCCTTTCCTTAAATGCAAGACCGTGAGTCAGAGGGCCCGTGTGTCCGTGGTGCCGGCAGCTGGCACTAGTGTGCGAGCGGGTGTGCAAGCAAAGATCAGGCCAGATGAGCCGGCAAATAAGTGAAGTGGCCTGGGAGCCTGGGGGTGAGCCCGGCTGCACGCCAGCATTGGGACCGCGTTATTTTGTTGATAGCTCCTTACCGACACTTTTATTTTCCACATGAAGTATCATTGGCAGGATGGCATCAGCTTGTAGTAAACCCCTGAAAGGTCGGGGAACGACAAATATCCTCGCCAGAGACCTAAGAATTTCCTCGGGGTTTTCAAATTGTCTTGTCTATAGTCTCCTTCTTGTATCTGATGAGATCCCCAAAGGGAGCAGAGGTGGGATGTACATACCACCAAGGACATACCGACAGCTCCTTCCCGTTTCACGTTTAGGAAGCGGACGGATCTTGCCGATCTCATTTACCACGTCAGTGAGAGGAGAAGGGAGTTGCAAATGTCACTAATAACCTACAGTACCATTTTCATGTATCTCTGCGAGTTAGGAATGCATGTGGTCACCTGCCTTTCCAGGGCTGCAGGAGGTTGTGCCTTCAAGCCCTGTGTCTTGTGTGCAGTTTCTGGGGATAAAAAAAGCTCTGTGTGTGTGTGTGTGTGTGTCTGGATTCATCCCACCGACTGTAACACAGCTGGAGTGTGGGTACGTACAGCTGAGCCAGGATCCCCCGCAGCACCAAACCAGCTCCCTGCTTTAACCCAAATCATTGCACAAGCCCAGAAATTTTGGACTCTGCCTGCTGGCTGGGAACAGGTCTGCCCTCCTGCGAGGGGATGGCTGGCTGGGGTGCAGTGCCTGACCCTTGGTGGGGGGTGAGCTCCTAGCGTCTTGATGGTCCTCCACCCTCCCCTCGAGCCCCATGGGCCAATGGTGTTCTCAGAAAATGCCTATTGGAAAGTGCCACCCCCCCCTCCAAATTTAAACCCCATCCTCTGCAAAGGCCCAAGGAGGCTTTAAGGAATGGGATGGGGTGATGGGAAGGGGCTAGAAAACCAAAGTGGGGTATGAGAAAACAACCTCAAACCCTTACGGGTTACAGCCACTGTGACCTTATGAGCCCCCAAACATCTCTGTTTTATCCACTGGATCCAATGCAGGATAAAACTTTGCCCTAAAGCTCTGCTTTGCTTTTTTTTCCTTCAATAATTAGGGCTCTGACAACATCAGTCCTTACAGAAGTTAAATCACAGCCTTATCTGTGCAGAGGACAGTGGATTGATTTTTAACGCTGACGCTAACCTTGGACTTTGGAGATTATGTATGACCAAGGAATGAAACTCAAACATTTTCATGTGTGTCCAAACATCAAAGCCAGATTCTGCTTTGCTCTACAAAGGACAGGGTTATGTTGTAACTGCATGGTGAGGGCAAACTGTCCCGTATTGCCAGACTGAGCATTAGCCCAGACCTTGCGGTGGTGGAAATTCAGGCAGAAACTATCAAGCAGCTGTGGCAGAACCAAGGAAAACAAAAAGTACCTGTAACTGCACGAGGCTTGACTGTGACAGTTAATATTCCCATTAACAATTCCAGCACCTTTTCACGACTTCCATGCTCCCTCTACGGCTCTCACCTCTTTTTTGTCATGTGTGATTTCATTTCTTTGCTCTGCTACCAAGAATTAAGCTGGAGCTCTTCCCACATTCTGGCCAATGGTTTGATCTTTGCAAGCTCCAAACCATGCCCAGGAATGCCTTGGGATAGCTGGGCAGGTCAGAGCCGCAGTGACATCCAGAGGCCAAGTGATGTCCTCACTCCAAGGCTCTAGCAAGAGGATTTTTTTGTGTGGGTGGTTTGCATGAAGGTTGTTCACTGCTAATGCACAGTGTATATTTGGTGTTACCACTTGTAGGGACCCCAGGTCAGGGTTTAGGGGTGAGGGATGGGTGCTGCACAAACGTGGACTGGGCTTGGGAAAGGGATATAAAAATAAGGACAATGACAGTGATTCAGCAGAAACATCTGGCTTTACTTCCTTGTCAGAATGGTTTATTTAACTGAACGGTATTGAGTCTATAAAAGACTTCAGACATGCTCAAATGCATGCAGTTGTGAGAAGCAAAAAATAAAATAAAATAAAAAAATCATCACTTAGAGTCATATATGGAAGAGTGTGAAAGCTCCAAATGAGTTAATCTGCAATTAAGATTTATGCTTAGATGGGTTGTCCCCTGGCACTGAGCTTTCCATCCCAAAGTGTACCAGCAAGAGTAAAGAACTAGCCTGTGCCAACGGAAACCTTACTGGATTTGTAAAAGAAGTTAAATGGGAAGGAATCCAGGGTCCTGAAAAGCTTATTGGGCAGCAGACCTCATGGCAGTGTCTGTCTCGTATAACTCCTCTATCCCCCAAGAGAACTGAGCATGGAGTCTGGCCCTAAATCTTGGTTTTCTCTTCTGTAGTGCATAGTGAAGACATTATTACTTTGACGTTCAAAGCTTTGCAGTCTATTGAGTCCGTGTCTGCTCTCCACAGCACAGTGAAAGCTTCTCTGCTCTGTTACAGTTCCTACTCTGCACACCACGCGAGGGATGGAGTCATGATGCTGCACACTTCAGATTGGAACAATACCGGTTAAATGTGTTGGAAAAGACCACCCCTGGCTAAAGAGCATCACTTCTAGTGTTAAACTGTAATGCATTAGGGACTGTTTTCCTGTCCTCGTTCCTCTAAACACAGCCAGATACGGCTCTGAGAAAGCCTCCGCTTGCTGCTGCTTGTAAGGAAAATTGAAGAAACTCAACAGCACCAATAGATACATCATTCACTTCAGAGAAACTCAAAGGAACGCTGAGGTTATAAGTACAAAGCAATGACACAGCTAACACCATCCATTGCAAAGGAAAGCAGATTTTGGAGGAGAAAGAGGAACATGGAAGTTCAGGATTTTTTTTAAGGATTAAAACACGCAGCATTTGCCGGTGACACTGCTGCCATGTCTCCTGGTAGATGCACTCCCCAGAGAAGAACAGCCAGGCCTCAAAGTGGCAAAGTCTCTCGGTGGTACAACATCTGCATGTAACGAGGTCATGCTCGCTATTGTGTTTGCTGCCTTTACTGTCCGGCGGCCAAGTTATTCCCAGCAAGTGACGGCGTATGCCGAAATACCCTGTGGCAGGCAGGATGCAGTGATCCACACGCAATGAAGCCAGGAAAGATGGGGGAGCATTTTTGATGGGGAGCAAAGCAAGGCTGCAATGAACCGCTCACACCACTGCCTGACAGCCTTAGATGTGCTCAGAAAAGGCTTTCTGCACAAGCCCGTTTTAGCCCCGCTTGCGAGGAAAGCCATACAACTAAATGCTCCATGTGCCGGCATCCTGGCCACGGGGGACATCTTTCCCAGAGGTGCCCATACACCAAGTCACAGCTTGGTTTCTCCAAGAGTTGTTTCTATTTGTTTGGTTTTTAACACATTTTTAAGAGAATTGATGCAGATGCAGTCAGGCAGGTGAGGGGTTACTGTAAGATCCTATGTGATGGGTGAGTCTGTCATTTAGGTCTGACAGGAGACTTCAAATACGTGCTCCAAAAAACAAGTTCTGTGGTGTTTTCAAACCTTGAAACCTTTGAGGAGCTCGGCCAGCTCTGCAGACACGACAGCGCAGGTGCCCATGGAGAGCTGGTGAACTTCCATGGAGCCACACAGCTCATTGAGCAGCAGGCTGGGCTCTAAGAGATCAGGAGCCGGGCCACCCAGGTGGAGCAGCATATGGAGTGTCAGCTTGGGCCCCAGGGGGAACAGTAGCTCTGTTCAAGCTATGACCTCTTGCAGGAGTGGGATGAGGAAGATGTGCAACTTATCAGTTACTGGAAAGCCCCATTGCTGTTGCCCTCCCTGTACACACCTCGTGCTACAGGGTTGAGCTACAAGGCTGCTTTCACGGAGACTGGCTCTTCTTGTTTCTTGTGAGTTTCCTCACAGAGTATGAAAAGCCCTGGTTAAAAATCTCCTTGGTGGTACCACTGTCACACACGTAACACATATACCTCCTCCCTCTGCAGGCTTTTGTTGCTCCAGAGCTAGAAGAGCTCTCCTCTAGCCCCGTGTTTAATCTCAGGTCAGGCCCCATGGGGATGGTGGAGAACTTGGCCAGGTAAGCGACGTGCTGAGCCTGGCTGCTGATGGATGCTAGCAGAGTCCCACCACTCCAGCCTTGTGTCTGGCACTTGGCAAAGACGTGGGATCACAGGACAAGTCAGGTTGGGAAGGAGCTCAGGAGGTCTGTAGACCAACCTTCTGCTCAAAGCGGGGTCAGCTATCGACTCAGGCCAGGTCTGCTCAGGGCTTTATCCAGTTAGATCTCTACATCCAAAGCCTGAAGATACATTGTTGTCTAACATCAGCCCCAAAAAAGTGCTTCACTTTTTTTTTCCCATCATAACTGGTCATTGAATTCTTTCGGATTGGAAGCAGGTGAGAAACCCACCAGTCACTCAGACCTTGCTGCGGTGGTCACTGTGGGACGAGCAGTGCAGTAACATCTGAAAGCACGTCTGGTTATCACGTCCTGGGGCCAGGGGCAGAAGTCAGTGCCCAGCATTTGCACGCATGGAGTCTTTCTGGCCTCAGGGAAGGATTTGCAAAGCTGCTTGGGGCTGGTAGCTAGTCCCATTCAGAAATGGCTACGCAAATCTCTCCTGCTTATCCCAGGAAGCGTGCAGCCAAGTGACACACATACTGTCAAGTTACTGCTAGTCAGCTGGGCCATGTTAGGTCTATATTTCTGTTCTTACCTTGTGGCAATGCACGTAATGTGCATTAATTTGCTCAGTTATGCTAAATCGCATTCACGGGGAGCAGTTACCCCAGCTCAGCTGATGCACAGCAACTTGGCAGGACTCTTTGGTACCAAACACTAAGTACAGAAGGGGAGAGGGAGACAATTCATGTCTGTCGTTACATCCACGTCACTGTGCAATCATGAGGCCATACTTGGAGCACAGCAGGCCCCTTTTCTTTTCCCGTTCGGTGAGGAAATTCCTCAGTTTGGTGGTAGGGAAGGTAACCAGTGCTTGCTGCCTGTTGTCCAAACCTGTCTCCTGGAGCCATGGGTTCTGAAGGCACTCCGAGGCTGACGGCCTTCCCCTAGGACAGACAAAGGTGAGAAGGTCAGTTGGGGATCCGTGCAGGGTGAGGAGGCTCCTTGCAAATGGAGAGAAAGAAGGGACAATAGCAAGGATCATAGAATCATAGAATAGTTTGGGTTGGAAGGGACCTCTAAAGGTCATCTAGTCCAACCCCCCTGCCCTGGGCAGCAACATCTTCAACTACAACTACATCAGGTTGTAGTACGTCAGAGCCCCGTCCAACCTGACCTGGAATTTTCCCGGGGGTGGGGCAGCCACCACCTCTCTGGGAAACCTGTGCCAGCCACCACCTCTCTGGGCAACCTGTGCCAGTGCTTCACCACCCTCAGAATTGCTTCCTTCTATCTAGTCTAAATCTACCCCCTTTAGCCTTTAGGCCATTCCCCCTTGTCCTGTCGCAACAGGCCCTGCCCTTTTATAAGTGCCAGTACCTACTGACCCTCAACCCAGTTAGAACTGCTGTTCTGCATATTCTGTTCGGGAACCTGCTTTATTGTTCTAATCATTGATGTTCTCATGAATTAGGGCTTTAATTTGGATTCCCCCCTACAACAACCTTGGAAAAGCCAAGCTACCTATTAAAATAAACAGTCAGCCTGCATGGCAGTAAATTCCAAACATTTGCTGCTGTCACCCAACCTGGGTTTCACCACAGTACCGGAACATTTTTTGAACTTGCACACCAGAGCTACATGACCAGAAAAATACCGAAGCACTTCGTTGCTTAGAAGCACTGTGGAAAAGCCCTCTTTCTATGCAAGATTTATGAAATCCTTGTTTAAGACTCTGTCCTCTCCTGTTTATTGACATCACACAAGCAATGCACAGGACCACTGACAAGAATGGCAAGGATAGCATAGGTCAGGATGCAACAGAGTATGCCCACAATCTGCTTGCCCTACACTTGCTTCAGACAAGGCTGTCACCCTGCACGAAGCATGGTTCATTTTATTTTTAGAGTTCTGCAGAAATAAGCTTTCCTGCAGAATATACAGTTTCCTTATGGTCTGACAAAATAATACGAACATCGACCCTAAGGTGGGCCAGCATATTCCTCTTTCTTTTCCATCTCTCACAGATGAGAGATTAATTTAAAAAAATAACAAGGCAAGAGATGATAAATATTGGTATGATAAATCTAGGAACAAAAAAACCCACACTTCTCTCTAAACTGGTCATTTTTCCTGTTCTATACCTCGGAATTTCAGCACGCTGAAAGATACAGACTTACACAGACTAGATCGAACACAGGGCCTTCCTAAGGCTCACTGGTAACACATGACACCAGGAGGGCAAGTAAATTAACAGCTGATGAATGAAACCCAATTTCTTCTGATAAATACGCACTAAATCTCAATACATAACTGCACCACCCATATAGCCAGCGTCCGTTTTGAAACAGGAAACTCCACCCTGCCCTCCTGAGAAATGACAAACAATTTGGTGTTTGAAGATCACTTTATCCTTTTAAGGTAACATATATTCGAGGCATTGTTATAAAGTAAGTGATAAAATCAAATTTATCATCATTTTAAGATTCAGTACTGTTACCGTTGGGCAAAACTTCACCAGCAAAAAATAAAATGGATTTTTAATGAATGGTGGGACATCAGATTTGAACATATAGTTCATTTACTTTTCTGCTATATGAACTTTTAAAAAAAATAATTTTTTTGATATGTAGTTAGTCATGAAGCCTCTGTTACAAAAAGTCAGAATAATTTTAATATCACTTTCAAAGCTAAGACAGCAAAAAGGATCTTGACCAAGAGGTACTTGAGACTGAGTCCCTCTTCCTGACTTCTGAAAAGGCTACAGACAATCTCTCTGCTACTATTAAGTGCTTTTATGCATGCCCCTAGCCAGCTTTCAAGAAGAGTTTTGGCTTCCAGAGTGTCTTCAACAAAGGCTTAAGCACTCGCTGGTAAAGACTGAGGCAATCGCTGGTAAAGACTGAGGCAAAAAAGTCATTGAGTTCCTCCACCTTCTCTGTGTCCCGGGTAACCAGGTCTCCTGTTTCACTCCGGAGAGGGCCCACATTTTCCCTCGTCTTCCTTTTATCCCCGACCTACCTATGGAATCTTTTCTTGTTGCCCTGGACGTCCCTGGCCAGATTTAATTCTATCAGGATCTGCACCAACTGTGCTGTTGGGAGCGCAGACACCATCTTACCAGGGATTTGCACACAGCGTGCTCTGGAGAAAGGACACTGCTCCCCCGGAGAGACCCGCGTAGCACCGCGTGAGCTTCACTTTCCCCTTCCTGGTCGTTCTCAGAAACTCGCAGGCTACGTCAGAGCTGACGGGGTAGTTGGCACTCAACCTGCCCCAAAAGAAGAGAATTGATCAGCATGAAAGGCATCACTTAAGATACTCCTTCTCCTAGGACTTTGCACCCAGCAGTGAGAGGAGGGTCATGATGATGCACAGAAACATCATATGGGAAAACAAAATCCGAAAGGCCACTGTTCTTCTGTGGGTTTCCTGACTTTGGCTGTTTTTCACCTGGCGTAATTTGAATTTTCTTGTTAAAGTTGAGGCTTTTCAGATGAGGCTGAGTGAGAAACACCAGCAGCTGCTTTGTTGTAAAACAGCCTTAGTCTACTTGGAGACATCGCTGGGACTGGGCGTCCTTGCACAGTGCAGCCAGCTCCGTACTCTCCATCACACAGACTTCTGCGGCATTGCCAAGGAGAGGGGGCACAACTGAGGTTAACTCTCTGAGTCAGTGCATCTCCCCTGCTTGATGACTATGAAATTGCACTTTTAAAGCTGCTCATAGGGTAAGGAAAGGCAGACTGACTTACATGATGAAGGCTGTGATCCCGATGGACCATATATCAGTCTGCGGGAGGGCTCCTTGCTCTGTCAGCAGTTCTGGAGCTAGAAAAGCAAATTGGTGTGAGCCAAGCTCCCCTCCAATGCAGAGACCAGCACAAAAACAGTGGGTACTTTCATGCTTTGCAACCTTCCCAAGAGTGAAGAAGAAAAAGCTCCTAGTACAGGGAGCTGACTGAGGTAAGACATCGTGGGTGATGACTGCAATGAAACCTTGAGAACATCAGGCCACATGGCAGTAATACTATACCCCTGAGCTCTGGACACATGGATGCCAGCCAGAGCGGTGTTGGCTGTGACCTCTGGCTTTGTCCTCTGTGGTCTGCAGGTGGGTCGGCTGTCACCACTAGCTGCTCCTGCAAACTCACACTGTTGCTGGAGGGCAGCACCTGGGAGAATTTGCTTGCTGGGGCCAACTGCTGCTTTGACCAATGGCTCTGTCTGTCTGTCTGTCTGTCTACCACAGATTGCATACAAGGCCAAGGTTGCTGTGACTGAACTCTGTACTCACCCATGGTTTCAACATAGTCTGTGCACTTGTCCATGGTAATGACTTTGTCTTGTGTGTAGAACTGTGCATTGCCAAAATCCAGGAGTTTCAGCAGGTTGGGCTCGGTGACGATCATGTTTTCAGATCTGAGATCCAAGTGCAGGATGCTGTGTGTGTGGAGATACTCAATGGCACTGAGGATCTGCCACAGGTAATCTCGAACCTCCACTTCTGAGTACGATGTCCTGGTAGAAGAAAGGGGATAGAAACCAGAGGCGTCCTATCTGCATGCCCAAGGGCACCATTCTACACCCACTATCATCCTCCCCTGGATGTCTAATCCCATGAGGCCCTTGAGAATCGAGAAGAAACAACTCTACTCATTTAGCAAATCTATTGTATATGGAGAGGCTGGTCCAGACTGTGGGTCAGGTTGACAGATGCAAGAGGTTCAGGAGGTTGTAGAGCTGCACGTCAGAGAAAGCAGTGGTTGTGCAGAAATCAAAATGCAGATTTAATGCCCTCCATTCTCTCTCCTTTAGTCAGCGGATTTCAGCAGATCCATTTTCTGCCATTGTGAGAAACAATGTGCAGAAGAAATGAGGCTTCCTGAACCACAGTAATCTCCTTGTTATGGGAGAGGGGGTTTCATATCAACTACTGTAAACTGCCTTCAACATCTCAACTGGGTGGCCCTGAATTGTCCCTACCCCAACCTTGTAGGGAACTTAAGTAATTTTTTTATGTCGCAAGAAGTTGCAGAACAAATGCATTACAAATCCCGTGTGCGACGACAGCACACTGGAAGAGATGGAGAGAGATGATCCAGTTTGTCAGGGGAAAGCAATAGGTGTTTTGAGCCCTACACCAGCCCTGACTGGAAATCCCTTCCCTCCACTTGTTATTACCGTAATGCCAAAGAGTGGAGTAGCTCTGGTCCCACGCACATCTCCTGGATCAACACTAAGTGCCGTGGGCTGACGTAGGCTCCCTTCAGCTGAGCTATGTTTGTGTGGTGAAGCTTCCTCAGGACTTGGTACTCGAGGAGCACAGTCTGCTTGTCCTCTTGCCAGTAAGGGATAATTTTAGCAGCTAAAGTCTTGCCGCTTACTTTTTCCCTGCACTGTCGGACGATGCTGAAACGCCCCCTGGTACAAAGGAACACAAAGGCAAGTTAAGCTTCTCTGCTACTCCTGGAAGAGCCAGGACCTTCTGTTCTTTAAAACCACCAGGATCCCATGCTGTGTTTTTCATCCATGCCCAACGTTGAGTTATTGCATCTATTGTCACAGTTTGCACATCCTCCTGTGTCTCTAAATTGTACAGTCACTTTAAATTGCAGGAGTGAGAGCTTAACTCCTTTGGAGAGAGAGAGAAGGTGGCTCATCATGTCTTGAGCAAGATAACTACCCCCTGCAGGCAGCTGCCTCTTTCTGTTGGCAACAGAAGCTGGTGCCTATCTTCTAGGCAGAGAACGTTGAATCCCAACCCCGTGTCTGAAACTGGTAGCTGCAAAGGTTGATGCAGCAAGGAGAGGAGCCTTTGTTAGCCCTGGGCTCACTTCACAATATACTGAGGGGCTGTCCTGGTGCCCGGCACAGACCCTTTTGCTCTCCCAGAAAATCCACACCTGAATCCTACCAAACCAAGATGAAGATCACTCAGCCAATGATCTCAGGTTTATATGTATTGCTGTGGAGGTGTTTTCAACAAAACACCGTGACACTAGGTGAGCAGTGCATTTATAAAAGTGACTTTTCTAAATTCCAGCCACATGCGGCATTGCCCTCTGGCTGGTTGAGCGCTCAGTTGGTTTCATTACCTTTTGATCTCCATTTGGAAGGCGTAGGTCTGGTAGGTTGGGAAAGGCTCGGATGGTGCGATTATTTCGCTCTCTTCTTCAGTAGCAGCTGATGGGAAGTTCTGCATTGCAGCACGAAGCTCTGCAGAGAGAAAGTGACAGGGATTACATGGGAAAACACCTCTGTCTGGAAACTGGAGCCTCTCTGAGCCACCCTCCGCTATCTAAGAACAACGATAAAGGCGACACCAGAGCTTTCTCCAGACAAGTCTGCAGGTTGTCTCCCAGCTGTGGCACCCAATGCTATTCGAATGCAACAGATTCTAGACTGCCCACCCAGTAATTCCCTGGTGTGACCACCCCAGACTATGAGGTGGATTGTATGTTGTGTCCTATGATATCAAACGTCTCAGCCACTGGTTCTCGTCTTCTCACATAACAAGTCATCAGGGCATGGTAAGACACTGACAAAGAATTAGAAACTTCTTTTAGTTGGATATTTCAGGGCGGCAGCTGAAACTTGTTGCTCTGGTTCTGGCATGTGGTTGTGTCCGAGTGCTCCCTGAAATATTAAAGCATCCCTTGACACATTAAAACATCTGCTTGGAAATGCGGTGCACATTGAGATACGTTAATGAATCCTGGGCCAAGGGAAAGCAGAGGATTTAAGGTGAGTTAAAAATATCTCTGTGAACTGATTTTTACAGAATGATCCTCTCCACTGGGAGGAAATTCCAGTTAGACCATCCTTCCACTTCTTGGCAGACAGGATACTTCCTTTGCTACAAGGACGTGTTTGCCGTGGGGTTATGGATTTCTTAATTTTAAAAACATGTGAATAGTACAAAGTATTCAAACAGATGAAAAAAAAATAGTAAATCGAGCTTTCTTTACTTCAGAGACAAAATACAGCTGAAAAATGCACCACAGTAGGGCAATAATTCCCAGTAGCAAACACCAGAACACATAAATTAACGACTGAACTTAGGACTGAGTCCATAACGAAGAGCAGGTCCAGGGCTTTCACCAGTGGCAGATCTATACCAATAGATGAATGCCTCCAGTAACACATCCATTGTCCCAGACCTGTTTCCTCATGATCTCACATCAAAAACTGAGTGTCTTCAGTGGGTAATCTACAGTTTCCAGATTTTTATTTTATTATTATATTTTTATATATGTTTACATATCATTTATATTTACGTAGTGTTATTATTTTATTATTCATTTGTTATATATTTACACATATTCCCCTAACCGTGTCCAGAACTAGAAAATAATTTACTTTTAAATAAGAAAGCCAAAGAGGAGGAAGCCCTAAACCACCCTGAGCCAAGTGGAATTGGCCTTGATTCACTTGCTCTTGACTTCTGGACCCGCATCCAAAAGGGTGCAATCGTTTTGATGCAGGAAAACCACAATGCTTTCCTGGCATTTGATCTTACCTATTTGATCCTTCCCAGTGATTTCCACTTTGGCAGACGGGTCGCTGTAAGGGCCCATTCCGGCTTTACTGGTGCAGGCTATCCTGAAGCAGTAGATAAACCCCTTGGAGAGATTTTTGGCATAGTAGCAGCAGTCAGCGATGTCAGAAGCAAGAGTCACCCACTCCCCATCTTAACCAAGGAAAGACAGAAAAGAGATGAGGACTCATTTAAGATGGTCACACCGGGGTGTTTTTTGAGTTTTGGGGTTTTGTTGTTTTTGGGTTTTTTCCATCAACTTTACTTATGTGCTGGGAATATGGGGAAACAGTGGAATCTCATAGAGTGAAGGAAAAACTGACTTGCTATGGCCAACTTTTGTGCATGGTGCTGCTCGCTGTACATGTGCCAAAGCTGCCCCTCTGCTCTGCTCTGGTGAGACCCCACCTGCAGTGCTGCGTCCAGCTCTGGAGCCCTCAGCATAAGAAAGACATGGACCTGTTGGAGCGGGTCCAGAGGAGGGTCACGAAAATGCTCAGGAGGATGGAACACCTCTCCTCTGTAGAAAGGCTGAGAGAGTTGGGGTTGTTCAGCCTAGAGAAGAGAAGGCTTTGGGGAGACCTTCTTGCAGCCTGTCAGTACTTCAAGGGGGCTTATGAAAAAGATGGGGGCAAACTTTTTAGCAGGGCCTGTTGCGACAGGACAAGGGGGAATGGCTTTAAACTAAAGGGGGGTAGATTTAGACTAGATAGA